TTACACTTAGCTATCTAGTGTATTACCTGTATCTATACAATATATTATAAACGATAGTCCTGCTCAAGGCAGTTCAAGGTGTGGGAGCCATCACAAAATAAATGATTCCCTTACCCTATTTACCCCCCCCTCTCCCTTATACTCATTTTTTATGTATTTTCCTTTCTAAACTCTGCGTCCATTCTTCCTGATCCTGAGCTTTCAGTTCCCTATATTTTCTCTTCTCGCGTAAATCGCCAATCTTATGCATTCTTCTTCTTCCCAATCCTTTCAGTCTTTCTATTTTACCTTCGACTACGTCGTATAGTTGTCACTTTCTTTGCAGAACGGCTCCGATCCAGTTTCCTTTTCTTTTAAGGATTGTAGAGTCCTTTTTTCGCCCCAGCATCACATTTCAAAACTCTTCAGGAAGTAATTGCCGACTTTTCGTAGAGTCCATGTCTCTGATACACACAGAGCTATGCTCTGTAATAGCACTTTATTAGTCTCTTCTGCAAGACTCTATCCATATGAGGCTATATATATTTTATTTCACAATATATATATGATACTAGAGAATTTCATACAAAATCATTCCACATTGTAGTTTTTGCAGAAATAAAGTTGATTTTATTTCTTGAGAAGCCATTTATTGTTATCGTAGCGGAATGATTGCTTACTAGAGATTGAAAGTGAGTAAGAAAAACGTAAAAGACATTCGTCTAGACGTTTTTCATCCTATTCGTCGACGCTACGTTTTATAATTTTTTATTTAGAAGTAAAAACCAAAGCTCATAATAGAAATAAGAATTGTAAGAAAATTGTTTTTATCATAGAATGAAAAATAGCACTTAAAATTTATACGTTTTGTGTAATTTTCAAACAACGTTTAGTTATATATCAATATTATATTTTAATTCAGTATAAATAATAAATCTATTGTTTAAATTTACAGACAATATTCAAACTGAGCTCAAATTCAAAATGAAAATTTACAGACTTATAAGTTACAAATAAGATACAAATTTATAAGTTTGATTTGATTAAAAAAAATTGAATAATATAAACTTTAATAAAATATTAAAAGGTCCAAAAGCCTGTAGTACTATTAATATACTTCAAAAATGCATTATGTGCTAAATAAAACTGTTGGAAACTTTCAAAATCAAGTATCACGTTTACCATCATGATTTCCTAGGATTAAAATGCTGAATTCATTTTCCTAGCCATTTTGTCGAGTAATAAACTGAATATTTACTATATTCTCCTATTGTGAATCTCGTATACATAAATATTTGTATTAACTTTAATCGTACTTGCAAAAACTAACTTTATGAAGAGATTACTAAGAAAACCCAAAAGTTCAAGTACAAAAAAGGATTCAAAAAATGTGCGAAAATAAATAGACAACTTCACTGTTAACGAAGTGCAGAGCTTTGTGTTCCGAAATGTGCCGATAATGACCGAACAAAAGTAACCTACAAGAGAGGCACGGGGTATGAACACGGGGTATTCTAATATTGTCTAGGGCGGCATGTGTTTGACGTTAACTTTCTAGGTTGGCGCCGGTACATAAGAATCCGCGGTAATAAATAATATATAGGATTAATTAAGTGTAGTTCATATTTGTTTGTGAAAAGTGTTTTATGTAGATTAAAATGCCGGAAAATAGGCGATTTGCTTTAGTTTGGAAGTCCGATAATTCTTCGGTGATCGTGCCTTTGGAAAAGATATTCCCACCGAAAGGCATGTAAATGGCATTGCCATGTTAGGAAGACATGGTGCAGTAAGAGTTTTGGCTATCAATGGTAAATCAATAAATTTATCTACATTTAAGTAAATATAACCTCATTGTGTATTCTCATTATGCGGTCTTTTTAATAATCTCCCAAAAGAGATCGAAATGACTGATCAAATTTGGAGACAAATGTATGAATGTAAAAATAAATATGCACATAGTTGAATGATTGAACGAATGCTATGAAAATGTCGATATGGTTATATATATATATATATATATATATATATATATATATATATAATTAAGTATTGTACAGTTTATAGGATCTCTCATTCCATCTGTCCGATACATCTAATACATCTTCATATAACACTTGCACTTAAAAGAGCATAAAGAGATAAAATGTGTTTCAGATGATCTCAATTATTTAAAATCTATCTTTGTAACGGAAAGCGGAAAATTGGTTCATCTTACAAAGCCTGCAGTTGTCGAGGAAACAATCGATGACAAAAACATCATCAAAAAGTTGAAACTGGAGCAGGTTGCATCTATCGATGAACCAAATATCATCAAGCAGGAGCAAGATGAGCAAGAAGTAGTTGTATCTAATAATAATGTGATGGATATGGAATGGAATGCAAAGGATTTTGAAGATTTAATAACAATAGATGATGATGATTCTAGTGATTTAGAACAAGAAGAAAGCGATGATTCAGATGCAGAGTTTTCTAAAGAACATGTTAAGGCCATGGCAATGGCAGTCCCAATGAAAGGTATAATATATTATTTTAATAAATATGCACTCTACGATTGAGTTATAATAATATAATTGAGTTAATGAGTCATATTTCTATTCAACTAGTAACCAAAGAAGTTATTGACCATCAACGATTATGGTTGGCTGTATTGAAATATGCATATAAAATGCAGAATGAGGAAGTTAAAAATGAGTTGCATGAAAGTTTTATGGTATTTATCACTCATCTTGTTGTATATATTAATGTGTATTAATTATAAAAACATATCATAATTAATTAATTTGTTTATATTAACATAGATTCCTGCAAAATACTATGCACCTGGAGAAAACATGGTAAGTTATTGATAAAACTTATTTTTAAATATGTTCGTAAAGTTAGGACTAAAAGTTTTTTTTATTTTGTAGAGAGAAATATCACCACAATGTGGATTTTTTTTCCCAATTGATAAAATTTCATATATTGAATCAATGATGCCAGGTAACATACCTGATTGGTCAGTAATTGTGCGAGAAGCACTTTCGTTTGTGTATGGGAACGAACTAAAACATTACTCAGCCACAGGACTTCGAAGCAAACGACCACCCATAGATAAAAAATTGTTTTGTGGACTTCTAGGTTGTTTATCAAATATATCTGCAAAGTTCTACATTGATCTCACTTTGTTGATGTAATTGTTCTTATACCACAGTTTAATTATATGTATTTTTTTTTAAATAGATTGGTGCAACAGGCTCTCTAGGTTTCATGTTGAGAAAAAGGCATTCATCCATTACGTCAACAAATGCTGTTCAAATAAAAGAAAAAATAAGAAAGAAAAAAAAGCTTGATATGTGATATATAAGTATATATACATATAACAATCTGGTCATTTTACCTCATAAGAACAATCTGGTCATTTTGTACTTTATATTACCATATAAAATATGATCTAAGCTGATCCTAAGGATCATCGTTAAGGTTTTGAATTTCTTTATAAAAGCATTTGTAGTGATCAATGTCACTAGATGTAAATTTTTATATAAAGTAAGTATTTTATAAATAAATTGCTGATTTTACTACAGTGGAATTTTAATTTATTATTCGTTGTGACGACTAAGATATTAAGAAGCATTGACAACGTTTTATGTTAGATTCTAACGAATAAATTATTCATAAATAATTAGGTGACCATTTAGGTGATACATAAAAAACATTTAACATATAAGAAATGTTGTTTTAACTGTGAGTGCTATAGAATGAATCCGAAAAGTTCTCAACAGAAAACAAATACAATGTTTGTTTTGAAACACTTTTGAGTGCCTAAGTGTTGCAACTGTATAAACCCTTGAGGTTTCAAAATAAAATGTGTTGCAGGTGTTTACGGAAAAGAAATTAAACCTCAATTTTCAACAGTTTAGTTTTGATACTTATTTGACTATCAAATTTGACTCACATACACACACACACGCTTACATAATTTTTACAAATTTGGGTTCGAATTATACAAAACCACTTGAAATATCGAGAAAAATTAGATTATTTAATTTGTTGGCTAAGACTTATGCTGAAGCTTCTCCTTCTGGTTGTTAAATATAGTAAAAAGCACCGAACTTAATCTTCACTTAAAACTTAATCAGTATTCTGTGTAATTCATCTACGAGAAAGATTTTTGTATAGTCATAGTTCATTTTAATAAAAATGGTAACAGTTGTAACTTGTTTTACACAATTTTGTTAAAATATATGCAACAATGTTTGCTAAGAATTTCAAAATAGTTTTGTATTTCAAGATATAAATTTAAATGCAGATATTTAGCCAAGTTTATTGAACAAATAGCTGAAAACCACATTCTACATGCTGCTTCATCTAATTCTAAACTGATTAGAGCAGACTGCGGTTTTGATGCTAGTTATATAACTAAATTATATTAAATTAGTATATATATATATATTATATATATAATATATATATATACACAAATACACCCAATTCGGTTTCACAGATGCAATTTATAATTTACAATGTTTGACGTCGACGCTACTAAACATTTAATAGCGTTGTTTTATGTAAATAATGTGTGTAATAAATAATTAAATCTGATAATTCTGAGAGCATAAACAAACGCGCATATAATTGATTGCACTACTTAACTTTGTTGTTTGTTTTACACAAAATTTCAAGACAACATTACTGGCATTATTCCATTGTATGAATAAAGATCATTTATTATACGAACTGATAAAACGAAGAGTTAGACAAAAATTCCATATTAAATGAAAAATAGCAATGTATCTGCTGTACTACTGCTCATAGTGTATAGTTAGAAATTGGACTAAAAATATTCGGGAGAAGAATATTTAAATACTTTTATATTGATTTAGATATACTACATATCTCCTGTGCAGGATGGTACATTTAGAATATACGATCTGAACATTATATAGAGAAAATATAAATTCGAAAATATTTTAATAGAATTTCTAAACAATATTTTAAATTTGTGCCGTGTACTTGAAAGTAAAAAAAAATACAAGCAGTCAATGAATGTATGTTAATTTCAATTACATGAAGTTCTTCAAACACAATTATTACATGATGAGTGAAATTGTGAAAACAATATTGTTTAGGCGTTGTTTAACATAATCAACGGTGTGAACGAATATTATAGAATTTATTAATCAGCAATTACTTCATTTCTCTAATGAAGGTTCATTTCTAAATGCTAATTACAATGACAAACCGATCATGTCATATTTGAAGTATGACTTTGATTACATTATTGTTTTTAAATATTATAAATTTTTAATGCACATCATAATATATAATTTATTTTACCATTATATAAATGTGTATAATGGTTGACACTAATAAATGTGTGCACCACGAGTGTTACCATATTACAGATGAACATTATTCGAAATTGTTTTATGATGTATTTATTTTTACTTAAATGTAATCTTGTACAGTAGCAAATGAGTTTTACTTCAATCGCGTGTGAACCTTACGCGCACTCTTTTTTTTATACATTCTGCCCAAGTAAATCTACGTTTCTTCTTATCTGGAGCAGCAAGTTTTTTTTCCATTGTCTCTGTTAAAATGTTGTTAAAACTATGACAACCCTCCGTGTACATGTCTTTAGTGATGCCTTAGACTATATTTCCATTAAATATTTAATAAAATATTCCACAAATCTTGACCAAGACCAAGATCAAGACAGAGTCAACTTCTTATCTCAGCTGTCATATGTGTCATGTCGAGGAGAGGTTTGTCCTTCGTAATGCAAATAATGGAACTCGTTCGTATGAATATCAACTGTTGAAGACGACGCTATCTTAAATCGTGAAAGCGTTTTGAAAAAATATTTAAATAGACAGATAAGACGTTGTAATTATAATTGCAAATCTGTATCGCTTAATTCTTGGTAATATGCAGAGATTACGAAGTCTTCGAAGTAAAGAGCTGATATCAATTCTTGATGGTGTAATGGAACGCTTGTTACTTTGTACGAGAATTACAAGGATAAATTTATAGTTTTTTCTGGTATATTGATAGATGTAAAAGGTTTAATGAGGTGACAGTCTATATCAATTAACAGAAGTTAAGTAATAGCAAAGAGAAAAAAAGAGTGCGCGTAAGGTGCACACGCGACTGAAGTAAAACTTATTTGCTACTGTACAAGATGGCATTTAAGTAAAAATACATACATCTTATAACAATTTTGAATAATGCTTAATAGTAATATGGTAACACTCGTGATGCACACTTTTATTAGTGCCAAGCATTATACACGTTTATATAATGATAAATTATAAATTATATATTCAAAATAGCATTAAAATTAATATTTAAAAACAATAATGTAATTAAAGTCATACTTCAAATGTGACATGATCGGTTTGTCATTGTAATTAGCATTTAGAAATGAACCTTCATTAGAGAAATGAAGTAATTGCTGATTAATAAATTCTATAATATTCGTTCACACAGTGGATTATGTTAAACAATGCCTAAACAAATATTGTTTTCGCAACTTCACTCATCATGTAATAATTGTGTTTTAAGAACTTCATGTAATTAAAATTAACATACATTCATTGACTGCTTGTATTTTTTTTACTTTTTCGCTGGCGATATAATCTCATTCTTTAAACAACTATAATATCTGTCTTGCCTAAAAATATTTTTTCATTTTAATAACTTCAAAGATTTATAGAAACTACAAAAATATAGAAATAATTTCTAATCAATAAACTTACGTTCAGTTCATGGCACAAATGTTTAATTGTTTTATTATTTTCAAAAAAACAGGGTAAAATATTCTTCTGAAATAGATTTTTTTCTAAATTTAAAAATTGTCATTATACAACAATAAGTAAAGTATTTTTTCCAGACACAAATTTTAATATTTATATCAATAAACTGAAAAAATTCTCCCAAATTCAACAAATGACTTCAATTAATATTAAAAGGAACATTTCCACAGCTTGCTCATCACAAATTTCATAATATTTATTTTTGAAATATAAATTTTTTTCCAAATGAAGAAAAGTAAGAAAATTCATCCCTATGATATTCAAAAATTTATCCATATGAAATTCAAAAATTAAAAATTTTAAGTAAAAATTTTCCCAAATTTAAGAAGAAATTAATTAGAAAATGAAGTTTGTCTGAATCAATGAAAATTCATGTAGTTCTCCAATTTTATAGAAAAAAAATTCAGTTTAAATATTTTTCAATTTTTTATCGTGTTAAAACGTCTTTTAACGCTAATTAATGGATTTACTTAAATTAATTTTTTATAAATCTTTCCTAAATATTTTAGTTTGGAATCTAATTATTTACGACAAACTTTCTTTTTTCACTAATTAGTATTATTCCTTAAATTTGGGGTAAATTTTTTAGATAAAATTTTTAATTTTTCAATTTCATAGGGATAATTTTTTTGATAAAATTGATGAAAAAAATCTTTTACAAATATTTAAAAAAAAGATTTTTTTTTATGAATGAATAATTCTTAAACAAAAACAAGAATTTTCCTCCAAATTCAGAGAATGACATCAATTAAATAGAGATGCCAAAGATTTATAGAAACTACGAATAATATAGAAATATTTTCTAATTGACAAACTTACGTTTAGTACACGGCACAAATGTTTAATTTGTTTTATTATTTTCAAGGAACAGGGTAAAATATTTTTCTGATTCAGGCATTTTTCATAAACCAAGGTTTGCACTACGATGTAACTTTAAAATGTTTATTTATCTATGCCGATTTTCTTGTTTATATCGGTACGCATACAACGTTGATGCCGGTACGCATACAACTACAGATCTCTATTCACATACACGACGAGTAATCACAATCGACCCGTATAAAAATGATTTCATCGAAAGCGAATGACGTACAGTTGCGTAACGCTATTTCCATTGCATTTGTACGGATTTACACCCTAGTCGCGCCTAAAGAAGTTTTACTTCAAAAAATCACTCAAGGGTGACCAATATCAATTTTGGAGCCATGGCTAGGAAAAACCTTCCGAAGTACAAGGATGAAGTAGTTTTTAATTTTAAAGTCAAGGTTAATCACGTGACACATGACATATGACATTTAAACAATCGGGAGTGTTCCACGATCGTCGGCAACGCTCGTTCACTAAGTAACGTCACAATCTCATTCTATCTTTTATAAAATGAGGACTAGCAGTCCATGTAGTGTAAGGTCTATGGTTTTGTGTCGTTAAATTGTAAAAGTATTCCTCGACAGGAAAACAATTGCAAAACATTTGTCGGATGAGACAACAAAACAATCAATGATCGAATCGAATCGTATCATTCGTTTAATTCATTTCGAATGACGAATGTCGAATGATGAAACAAGTGCATTGTTGGCGAAAAAGTCAATGTCTGACAATTGTCGGTTTATATTGCATTGTGCATTGTGTTTGCACATTTTTCAACCAGCGGTTCTAAAACATAA